CCAGGTATGGAGAGGGAGCATGGACACGGAGGTCATCCCACAGTTACTAAAAACAACAGACATAGCCCCACTCCACATAGGGGGCAGTAAAGCAACAGCAAAGAACTACAGACCGATAGCACTAACATCCCATATCATAAAAATCTTTGAAAGGGTCCTAAGAAGCAAGATCACCACCCATCTAGAAACACATCAGTTACACAACTCAGGGCAACATGGGTTTAGAACAGGTCGCTCCTGTCTGTCTCAACTATTGGATCACTACGACAAGGTCCTTGATGCACTAGAAGACAAAAAGAATGCAGATGTAATATATACAGACTTTGCAAAAGCCTTCGACAAGTGTGACCATGGCGTAATAGCGCACAAAATGCGTGCTAAAGGAATAACAGGAAAAGTCGGTCGATGGATCTATAATTTCCTCACTAACAGAACACAGTAGTAGTCAACAGAGTAATATCCGAGGCAGCCACGGTGAAAAGCTCTGTTCCACAAGGCACAGTACTCGCTCCCATCTTGTTCCTCATCCTCATATCTGACATAGACAAGGATGTCAACCACAGCACCGTGTCTTCCTTTGCAGATGACACCCAAATCTGCATGACAGTGTCTTCCATTGCAGACACTGCAAGGCTCCAGGCGGACATCAACCAAATCTTTCAGTGGGCTGCAGAAAACAATATGAAGTTCAACGATGAGAAATTTCAATTACTCAGATATGGTAAACACGAGGAAATTAAATCTTCATCAGAGTACAAAACAAATTCTGGCCACAAAATAGAGCGTAACACCAAAGTCAAAGACCTGGGAGTGATCATGTCGGAGGATCTCGCCTACAAGGACCATAACATTGTATCAATCGCATCTGCTAGAAAAATGACAGGACGAATAATGAGAACCTTCAAAACTAGGGATGCCAAGCCCATGATGACACTCTTCAGGTCACTTGTTCTATCTAGGCTGGAATATTGCTGCACACTAACAGCACCTTTCAAGGCAGATGAAATTGCTGACCTAGAAAATGTACAGAGAACCTTCACGGCACGTATAACGGAGATAAAACACCTCAATTACTGGGAGCACTTGAGGTTCCTGAACCTGTATTCCCTGGAATGCAGGCGGGAGAGATACAATGATATACACCTGGAAAATCCTAGAGGGACTAGTACCGAACTTGCACACGAAAATCACTCACTACGAAAGGAAAAGACTTGGCAGACGATGCAGCATCCCCCCAATAAAAAGCAGGGGTGTCACTAGCACGTTAAGAGACCATACAATAAGTGTCAGGGGCCCAAGACTGTTCAACTGCCTCCCAGCATACATAAGGGGGATTACCAACAGACCCCTGGCAGTTTTCAAGCTGGCACTGGACAAGCACCTAAAGTCGGTTCCTGATCAGCTGGGCTGTGGCTCGTATGTTGGTTTGCGTGCCGGCAGCAGTAACAGCCTGGTTGATCAGGCTCTGATCCAACAGGAAGCCTGGTCACAGACCGGGCCGCGGGGGCGTTGACCCCCAGAACTCTCTCCAGGTAAACTCCAGGTAAACTCCAGACCTAAGACCTTATAACCGTAGGTAGTAAATAGGACCCTATAATGTAGGCAAACACTAGGTTATGTTAGCCAGGGACAACTGGAAGCCCAAGTTTGAATACTGGGACATGAGCTTGAGACTGCAGTGCCCTTTCTTCTAAGACTAGACACCATTGGAACAGCAAGTGCCATGATCAGCAGGCGGTGCCCCCACATGTCTTCACATACTAGACCTGGGGAAATCTGGTGGAGGCACCTCGATGTACTGTAGATGTCCTCCTCTGTCAGACCCATACAGTAAGACAAGACCTCACTTTTTCTACTCGATTCTGGCCAGTTTCTGGGGAAAATTGTAGGTAAGTTGAGCTGTGGGGCCTTTGTGCGGCCGGCAGTTCATGACCAGTACGTACCGGCATCTCTTGTCAGCCTAGAAGCTAGTGTCACTCTCTGCATAGGAGTCTAGGGGATTCACACCCCCTTGGAAACAGGAATTTCTGAGGTGCAGGCAGGTCACTAATATCGAATGAATATTGCTGGAATTAAGGCTCCTGGTTGCACGTGGTTCTGAAGGGAAGTCCACAGGTACTAAAGCTTAGGGAGGTTGAAGACAGAGACACATTCTCCAATACCAAGTAAGTTAGTCCTTTATAGGTGCATGCAGGTGAGATTTCTTGCAACATCAGTCATTTATGAAAATCTGTCCTATAAGCCACTTGTGAGGCTGAGGTACCGACCTCAGGGCTCTGTGTCAACAGAGCTTGCCAGGGTAGACAACTCACATGGAGGCAGTCCAGACAAATTTTCACAGTGTGTATCGGGTTTGAATGCAACAAATATTAAGAAAATACAGAGCAGCTATGTTGGATGCCATCATCCATCATAGCCTCTCCTCACTTAACGACAGAGTTCCATTCCTAAGACCACAGCAGTAAACGACTTCGTCGTTAAGTGAGGAGCATATTATAATGGGATCGAACTTAAGCTAAAAGAATCCTTTAGGAGTCAGGAATCGCGGGAAGAACTAAAAGCCATAAATGAAATCGAAAGAAACCCAAAGTATTTCTTCTCCTATGCCAAATCAAAATCGAGAACAACGTCCAATATTGGGCCCTACTTAAACAAGATGGGTCCTACACAGATGACAACAAGGAAATGAGTGAGCTACTCAAGTCCCAATATGACTCAGTTTTTAGCAAGCCGCTAACCAGACTGAGAGTCGAAGATCAAAATGAATTTTTTATGAGAGAGCCACAAAATTTGATTAACACAAGCCTATCCGATGTTATCCTGACGCAAAATGACTTCGAACAGGCGATAAATGACATGCCCATGCACTCTGCCCCAGGGCCAGACTCATGGAACTCTGTGTTCATCAAGAACTGCAAGAAGCCCCTATCACGAGCCTTTTCCATCCTATGGAGAGGGAGCATGGACACGGGGTCGTCCCACAGTTACTAAAAACAACAGACATAGCCCCACTCCACAAAGGGGGCAGTAAAGCAACAGCAAAGAACTACAGACCAATAGCACTAACATCCCATATCATAAAAATCTTTGAAAGGGTCCTAAGAAGCAAGATCACCACGCATCTAGAAACCCATCAGTTACACAACCCAGGGCAACATGGGTTTAGAACAGGTCGCTCCTGTCTGTCTCAACTATTGGACCACTACGACAAGGTCCTAAATGCACTAGAAGACAAAAAGAATGCAGATGTAATATATACAGACTTTGCAAAAGCCTTCGACAAGTGTGACCATGGCGTAATAGCGCACAAAATGCGTGCTAAAGGAATAACAGGAAAAGTCGGTCGATGGATCTATAATTTCCTCACTAACAGAACACAGAGAGTAGTCGTCAACAGAGTAAAGTCCGAGGCAGCTACGGTGAAAAGCTCTGTTCCACAAGGCACAGTACTCGCTCCCATCTTGTTCCTCATCCTTATATCCGACATAGACAAGGATGTCAGCCACAGCACCGTGTCTTCCTTTGCAGATGACACCCGAATCTGCATGACAGTGTCTTCCATTGCAGACACTGCAAAGCTCCAGGCAGACATCAACCAAATCTTTCAGTGGGCTGCAGAAAACATTATGAAGTTCAACGATGAGAAATTTCAATTACTCAGATATGGTAAACATGAGGAAATTAAATCTTCATCAGAGTACAAAACAAATTCTGGCCACAAAATAGAGCGAAACACCAAAGTCAAAGACCTGGGAGTTATCATGTCGGAGGATCTCACCTTCAAGGACCATAACATTGTATCAATCGCATCTGCTAGAAAAATGACAGGATGGATAATGAGAACCTTCAAAACTAGGAAGGCCAAGCCCATGATGACACTCTTCAGGACACTTGTTCTATCTAGGCTGGAATATTGCTGCACTCTAACAGCACCTTTCAAGGCAGGTGAAATTGCCGACCTAGAAAATGTACAGAGAACTTTCACGGCGCGCATAACGGAGATAAAACACCTCAATTATTGGGAGCGCTTGAGGTTCCTAAACCTGTATTCCCTGGAGCGCAGGAGGGAGAGATACATGATTATATACACCTGGAAAATCCTAGAGGGACTAGTACCGAACTTGCACACGAAAATCACCCACTACGAAAGCAAAAGACTTGGCAGACGATGCACCATCCCCCCAATGAAAAGCAGGGGTGTCACTAGCACGTTAAGAGACCATACAATAAGTGTCAGGGGCCCGAGACTGTTCAACTGCCTCCCAGCATACATAAGGGGGATTACCAACAGACCCCTGGCAGTCTTCAAGCTGGCACTGGACAAGCACCTAAAGTCAGTTCCTGATCAGCCGGGCTGTGGCTCGTACGTTGGTTTGCGTGCAGCCAGCAGCAACAGCCTGGTTGATCAGGCTCTGATCCACCAGGAGGCCTGGTCTCAGACCGGGCCGCGGGGGCGTTGACCCCCGGAACTCTCTCCAGGTAAACTCCAGGTAATGGTAGTGGGTTCGTGTCAGTCATCTCTGATTTTGTTTTAATATCATCTTTGCACCCTTTATAACATTTCTGCTATATTTTTAAATGTTTATGCAGTAGTGTACAGTACATTGTAATAAATAAAACAGAGGAAATCAGCTCTAATATATATTATTTCGGTATGCATATTGGTCAGAGAGCCGTCGTAAGTCCGAGTCGGCGGTAAATGAGTACATCGCTAAGTGAGGAGAAGCTGTATTTATAACACATGTAGCACACCAGTGATATGAAATAAACAGAAATTGTAGCACGTTATATAAGAACAAAAGAAAGGCAGAACACTGTAAAAACCATTCTGGAGTTGCCATTTCTTTTGGCAATATATTTAAAAAAAAAATTACTTTCACACGTTTGTTTAGTTTAAATTACATTTTTCACTCAATTTCTATGGTTAGGAAATTAATATATTTTATATTTTTTTACAATTTTTATGTATGGAAAATAAATAACCTCGTTGTCATACTCACAATTGTAATGTAGAATGTGCATACGAAGCCCAGGATGAGTATCGATGTGGACGTAGAGAGACCAGTGACTATAGACAGTGACAAAGTTGGAGCATATAAACACAAGCCCATGTGGATGAAGTTAAATAACAGCAGACACAAAGTTCCCAGAGTTTTCAGCAATCGTGATTCAAACCTCACTTGAAGATACTGCAGGACATTCCAACAATTATTATATTCAGTAGATAGACATACATTCATTGAAAGTCTACCGGTATTTTCATTAAACAATTTAGCATAAAAAGAAAGGAAAATAAATATAGATTAATTAACTAACCTCAGTGATTGAGACGAGTTTAAGTTGGTAGAATATCGGTGTGATGACTTGACTAATGAAGAGACAACCCGGGATGAATCCCAGTAAGTTCATAACAAGTTGTGTGCCGAAGAAGTACATCTCGGCGGGGTTACCTAAGCAAGGTGTTGATCATGTTCAACAGGATGAATGACATGGTTAGATACAAACTTATGACATAATGATTTCCAAGTATATTCAGTTTATGATTTAAAGATATTATGAACTAAAAAAAGCTTAGATATCTCACTTAATCTCACATGTAAAAGGCTTAACTTTCTAAATATTAATATTTGGCAACTGCCTGGGTATTTTCCATACCTAAGAAAATGGCCCATGGCAACTCATAAAGGGGAACTCATTTAAAGGGGAGACATATGTAGTTTACCCAACAGGTACAACTGCCATAGTTAGTCATATTTTATCCCACAAGGTTCTTAGGGAGACTCTGATCTAACCATCAGAACCATCCCTATTCTTCTGTGTGGGCTATAGTCTCCACAATGAACGAATCTAATCTGAACAAACCGTCACTATTATTATATAATAAAAGTTTATCATGTTTTATGATGGCTGATTCTATAATGTTTCGTTCAAGCCAAGTGGAATAAGGCACACTGACTTTAGCTTCTAGTCAATTTGCCATGTTATTACAGACTCTACTGTAGCTGAAAATGGCTTTGGAATCTTGGGCAGTGTTTCAAATATTTGTATTGTGATGTCCTAATATCTAGAGATTTGTCAGTTTGTCTCACATAAGATAATTACAAGTTACATCTATTGCAACCAATTGTACACACACCTCTGATGCAATGTTGTGAAGAGTTCTTGATCCGAATGCTTTTAGCAGTCCATGTATTCTTAACAACTACTTGGATGTTAAATTTTTTAGGAGCATTCGGCAGGACAGATAAATTCTCATTTTATGGGAGAACCAGCTATTTATCTGAGGTGTTATCCTAGGAACAGTCCTATGATAAGTTTGTCTACCTGCCAGCAACGCTGATTCAACAAAATCTCTAGGGTACTGCAGTTTCGTGGCAGTATCAAATATTTTCCTAATTTCTTCATCTACAAATTCATGACTACATAGTCAGTAAGCTCTCGGAAACATGGCGAGAAAGACTCCTTTTTACCTGATTTCATGATTGGAATAATAGTGGATATATGAGCACACATTAGTGGCCTTCCTATTTACTGTAAACTTGAACTTTCTATTAACACGGTGCACCAACACATCTAGGAGAGAGTTTAGATTCCTCTTCTTTCTCCACAGTGAATTTAATAGACGGGACCAAAGCAGTAAGACTCGGTAAGAATGTATCTAGGCCATATCAATCGACCACAAACGCAGGATGTCAGCCACATATCTGAACCATCTACCTTTATGGGGAAGGATGTCCTTCAACAGCATCACCTTAAAGAACTCTGTATATAGACTGCTCAATAACTGTGAAGAAACTGGGGTTACAGTTTGCCATAAGGACTGCAGTCGGAACCCAAACAACCTTCAACGTAAACCTGATAACAGTCCTCTAATGACAACTGAGGATGAGGTCATCCAGCCAACCACAGCCAGACCTGTGACTCCACCTCTGCAAATGTGGAAGAGTCCAACCTCCCTGCAAAGGATTCTGGTGATACCAGAATGCCATCACACACACCAGTTGTGGAGGAGCTAGCCATACCTGCTAGCACACGTGGAACTACTGATCTGCCATTACTCATACCTGTACTTGCACCTGAATATGGGGATGAGCATGTCACTTCCCAATACACACATTTACAGCAGTCAGACGGACACCACACATGTGACCCCACTGGAAGCTGGAGTTGAGTTAGATGCACAGGACCTATCTACCATGAAGGATGAGTTAGTCATGCCACAGGTACTATCAGAGAACACTAATGTGTAATACGTAATACGTTCGTTATTTTAATATTATATTCCCTAGCTCCCTTATTTGATTACCACTTCATTTGTTCACCACTGCTTAGTTTAATTCCTTTTATAATGTCTCCTATATTTTAGCTTTAAAGAACTACCTTAGTTCGTGTATTTACATTTGTTAAAATAATTCAGGTGATATTTTTTAGCTTTAGAATATTTACTTTGTCTTATACTTAAGTCTAATTATAGATCCACTATAAATCTTATGATTACAAGCATTAATCCTGATACCAACCTCTTATTGAATTACTTAAATGAATCAAACAGTAACTGTAATTACTACACAGCAGAACAAACAGATGTCTATGCCATCCCTGGTTACACAGCCATACACAACTGTAGGCCAGATCAACAAGGAGGTGGCACATCTATATACTACTCACACCAATTAGAATGTATCACTAATACTTGCACAAGGGATGAACATGGGAATATATAATAGCTAAATTCACACCCAAATACCTACAATAACCTCTCACAGTGATAAACATCTACAGAGTGCCACAGTCAAACATTAGCCGTTTTAGTGAAAACCTAGGAAGTATGATAACTGATGCACGCATGAACAAAGATCACTTACTACTCTCAGGTGGCTTCAATATAACTCTCCTGCAAGACCAGGACCCCACACATTACTGAATTCACAAACACTGAGTAACTGCTTGTTGCTACCAACAGTAACAAAACTTACAAGAATTACAGAGACTAGTGTTTCCCTACTATACCACATCTGTACCAACACCATATCCCCTTTAAAATCAGGCATAATCACAGACAATACCACAGACCACTACCTAACCTTTCTCATAACCAATCTAGATAAATTACCCCAAGACTTCCTAATGAGGCAGCCATTAATAACTTCACAGCAGCAATGACAAACATCGACTGGCTAACTGAGCTAGAAACCTATACAGATACTGACAAATGTATTAACTATTTTCCCAAAAAGACCCAATACCTCTGTAACAAGCACTGCTCTAAAAAAAAACACAGCTAAGAGACTGAACAGTCCCTGGCTAACACCCAGCATCCTCAAATCCATAAACACAAAGCACCTATTCGAAAAACAGTATAGAATGGGTCACATAACCAGAGACCAAACAAAAAGTTATTCATCAATCCTAACCAGCCTGTTAAGAAGGGCAAAAAAAATTGTATTATGAGAACAGATTATCCAACTTTAAAGGTGATATAAAAAAGACCTGGGAAACCCTATCTGAAATTTTAGGAATAAAAGAGTTGTCAGGAAACAGAGCAATCAAACTAACAAAACCAGATGAGCCCCAACTCCCACCAACCTAAACAGCAAACAGATTCAATGTTTTCTTCTCCACCATAGGAAAAAACCTTGTTGATAAAATCCCAAGCTCAAATACCCCACCCAATGACTACCTCACTGGCAACTACCCGAACACACTGTTCCTAGCTCCGACTAACCCAACAGAAGTCTCCCATATTATCAACACACTAAAAAACAAGAAAGGAGATTTAAATACCTTACCACTCTTTATATACAAAAAAGCTTTGCAAGTGCTGTCACCACTCATTGCAACACTAATAAATCCATCGAATCCTCTACCTTCCCCACAGTTCTCAAAATAGCGAGAGTCACCCCGATACATAAAGGAGATCAAACAGACTTGACTAACTATACGCCAATATCCAACTTACACCCTCTCTGAAATCTTTGAAAAATTAATTCATAAGCGAATCTGTTCCTACCTCATCTCTCACAACATACTAAGTCCCTGTCAGTTTGGGTTCAGGCCTAATAAAAATACGAATGATGCTATTATACACATTCTAAAACAAATATACACTGCACTCGAGAAAAAAGAAGTCCCATTGGGGATCTTCATTGATTTACGTAAAGCTTTTGATACAGTTGACCATGATTTGCTGCACATAAAATTGTCTCGCTAGTGTATAAGAGGGCACTCCTTCAAATAAAGTCATACCTCAGCAACAGAAGCCAATATGTGTACACAAATGGACCAAACTCTTCCACACACAGCCAATTACAGTTGGTGTCCCACAGGGAAGTGTCCTCGGCCCTCTTCTCTTTCTCATTTACATAAACGACCTACAAACTGCATCGCAACTACTCAAACCCACACTATTTGCAGATAACACTACATACGTCTTCTCTCACACAAGCCCAGTCATACTAGCCAATACTGTAAATACCGAATTACAGAAAATATCTACCTGGATGATGATTAACAAACTTACTCTCAATATTGACAAAATCTATTTCATACAGTTTGGAAACAGAACCACAGATGTCCCTCTTAACATAATGATAAACGGATCACCTATCACAAAGCTCACAAAGGAAAAATTCTTATGAATCCACCTTGATAATAGACTCAAATTTCAAACACACATACAACACATTTCCAAGAAAATTTCCAAGACCGTAGGCATACTATCGAAGATACGGTACTATGTTCCACAGTCAGCCCTCCTGGCCCTATATCACTTACTTATTTACCCCTATCTCACCTATGGAATTTGTGCATGGGGCTCAACAACAATAAACCATCTCAGACCATTAATTACCCAACAAAAGGCTGCAGTCAGAATGATCACAAATTCCCACTACAGGCAACACACTCCACAAATATTCGAAACTCTAAACTTACTCACTGTACAAAACATCCATACCTATTATTGTACCTACTACATACATAGAACAATAAACTTAGATATAAATCCTCCCCTCAAACTTCTCCTTACCAACCTCAACAGAACACATGACCACAACACAAGGCACAGATGTTCCTAGTGTCCATCTCACACTATGTAAAAACGCAATGATCATAAAAGGCCCAAAAATCTGGAATTCATTACCTGTGAATATAAAAGAAACACAGTCTGTTTATCAATTCAAGACTCTTCTTAAAATCCAATTACTCAACCACAACTAATTAAATACTGATTAACTGTATCTCATAAATGTATAACCTGTGACCCTATCAAACTATATTTTTTGTAATTCCATTACCTAACAGAATACTCCATTCTCTTGAATGCTCAGTAACTCATCAGATGTGTTACAAATTTGTACAACTATAAAGCCTTTTATTTCAAATACTCATTTGTACTTCATGTTGTAATTTGTTTACTATATTTTTACCACTGAATATATCATTGCTTAGT